CTGGTATGCCAGGGTATGTCCATACCGTTGACATAAGAATTTAAATATGTGAGAATCATCCTGTCCTTTGAGGGCCTACAGGAATAGAAGGACAGAAGAAGGGGAAATTTTATGTGAGCTGGGACATCGTCTGTCTAGGTTCTCAGGCCTTTAGGTCAGGAGTGCAACTACACTGCCAACTTTTCTGGGTGTCCAGCTTCCCGGGGGAGCTCATGTGACCTGTGAGCTTCAATAATCACATGAGCCAGTCCTTCATTCTTCCTCTACAAAGGAATGAACAGTGTACAAAATCGAAAGAGTATGAGATTTAAAACTTTCCCATGTTAAGTATGTACCCACTGAACTGTGCCATTTTTAGTGAACTGTTTACAGTGCCTATACTTTAGAAATGTATCAATGGGATACCAAGAAAATCCACAAACTTGCTACAACAAAGACAGACATCAAGAGTAACCAGTATAATTTTAATCTGATAAAATATTTTATCAATTCCATATATTTGATTTAAGTAAAATAACTTCAGTAGTTCCATTTGAAATGAACTGACTGATTAACAGAACAGCTTTGAGAGGGTCTTCAATTTGAAAGCTTTAAGATGTAAAGAACTAATACACAGTCTCTAAACAGCACAGGAATACAATTGGAGAGAAACCGCCATAATATTTACAGTGGATGAGTGTATTTCATATAGATGACCTAGGATAAGGTCAAACCAGGCCCACTGGGCCAATTTGACTCGCTACCTGTTTTGAGTGGGAAGGCCTTTGACCCAAGAGGAGGTTTCACATTATAAAAGGCCTAGAAAATACCAAAAGACTTGCATGACACATGGAAACCATATGCCATTCCGATTCCAATGGCCATAAAGTTTTACTGGAAATTAGTCATGCTTATTTGCTTACCTACTGTTGGTAGCTGCTTTCAAATACAAGGGCAGAGCTTGTGTCACAAAGACATGGTCCACAAAGCCTAAATCATTACTATCTCATTTTCTATATAAAGTTCGCCAATTTTTGTAGGAGCTGGGCTTTAGACATTACAGTATTTTTAACTTAGAAATACCCTGTAAAATTCTAAATACCCTTGAACTTTAAATTGACTCACATTTCTGGTAAAAATATCCATATGGGAGAGGGAAATACAGTTCATGAATGTAAAGAAACATCCAACAATATTAAAATTCAGAACCAAAAGAAACATTTCACATGAAAATATAATTAAGTATTTTAAACATAACAATTGTTGGTTACATTATTTAAAAAGTTTCAAGAAGCTCATAACAGATGAAAACATCTATAAAAATCGGCACCCTAGAAGCACAAATTTTACATGTGAATGATTAGTAAACATACTGAATCTGAAGTAGGAGTGCTGAGTCAACAGAAAAAGAGTCAACTCTGGTTCTAAAGTACATGATTCAGAAGGCTTTAACTAGCAATACATTAAGAAATTCGAGAAGATAATGACACACCTGTGTAAGTACAGAAATTATAGTTTCAAATTATGTAGTTCCAACTGAACACTGACAAAATAGAGGTTTTGGGAAACTATTAAAAATACTAGAAGCCAGTTTTTTTCTAGTACTTTACAACATTTAAAAAGCAGTAATTAAAAACATTGATATTTCAAATACAGCTTTGCAAACTACATTATTTACAAGGCCTCTACTCCAAAACCTGTTAAAAAATAAACTTTCTTAAAAGATAAAATTTACTTTGATATTCAAGTATTTCTAACTTAAGAGAACAGTGATAGTCACCAACTCATGGAGAAGGCCAGCAGAGAGCTTTTTATAGGAGGATAAAATTTGACCAAGATTTGATAAATAGGTAAGGTTAAACTTTTATGACAACTTATTTTCCATTTACTAAGAAGAGTTCATTTTTAATTATTTAACATTTTAGCATATTTAATGCAATTTATAGAACTGGTTGAAATACTAAATCTACTAGATTAATGATTCATGGAGTTATATTTATGAAGTCTATAAAGGAATGTAAAGAAAACTTTAATTCTAAAATTCTCAATTCTCTGGAGTAGGCATTATAAAACTTCTACATTACAATTAGTTTATGAGCTTAGTACAAAATAAAATGACAACTAATAAGGCATTAAAGTAACTTATTTTCACTTATAAGTTCACCATAATAATGAAAATTCCTTTAGTTTTTAAATATAAACTCCATGAAGGTAGTTGGGGTAAAATTACTATTTGAAAAAACAGGAAGATGCCCATATTAAACATGTCATGAAAATTCAAACCTCTATCTGAAGGTAGAAATTTATCCTGGAAACCCAGAAGATAAACCAACCTGACAACCTAATCAGCAAGCAGAGTCAGAAGAAATCTAGGCAGTTAACAGTGACAGCCTCAAGAAGAGGACCCAAGGTGAATTCCTAACACTGGTTATTAGCAGCCCAAAGTCAACCAAAATAAAAACCTTTCACATTTCATATAAAATTAGAAAAAAATGTAACAAGATAAATAAATATACTAAAGTTAAGCTTACATGGCTGAAATAGTACTTATGGACACATAAAATAGTCAAAGGCCTAATTTATGTTAATTAGGTATTCTGGAGAAAAAAGTTCTAAGAGCCAAGTTCTACCTGACCCTGACGTTTTAATTGAAACATGGTTATTAAGGCATTTTTCCCTAAATGCTATTAAACTCATGGGTCAACAGTTTTTAAGACACTTGAAGGGATCATATGTGGTAGACTATCATGGAAGTCAGAAACAAAAGGGTGAATTCCTCTTTTGGTCACCCATTAGAAAGTGCTCTTCAAAAAGCAAATACTGCTTTAACTAGACAAACTATGTTATCACCTGGCATTTTTCAAACAGTTTAACAATCTACATACCCAAGTTCTGGCTGGCTTAATACTTATGGGTCTACTAGCCACTTAATGGAATGGTTCTTATTGAACTGTTACACATGGCAAATGAATTATATACTCAGATTTTCCATTTTTCCAGGCATACAAAACTAGTCAAAGGGAATTTCTAAACCATCCACTAAACTGATCATCAAAAAATAACATGTATATAGACACATATGCATGCGTGCACACGCACACCCAAACACAAAATTAAAGTATTTAATGATTTTTAAAAAGTCATGGCTTTTAATTTTTTGCATCACGTGATTTGATCAATAGATACACTATGCTCTCACAGCCCGGAGGCTAAGCTTGCCCACTGCATCATCTATCTATTACAATGTTCGCTAGGTTTATATCCTTATTCAGGTGGGCAGCTTGAACCAAGACTGCTATGTAACACAGGTCCAACCTGCCTTTCACTCTGAGATAGTGAATTATCACTACAAAAATCACTGCTCTCTGGAAAATAGAGCTTGGGCCTCTGATGGTATTTCAATCTGTATGTATCAGTCATACAGTTATCAACTGAAAAATAGGTAGTTAGTGAAACTGGTTCATCTAGGCTTCTAAAACTGGAGCCTCGTTCTGGTTGGCAAAGTGCATCAACAGCTGCACCTGAGTTTGCTGGAAACATCTTAGTTGAAATTGAAGAGTTGGCAGGGTAGTTCTGTGAGAAACCAACAGGCTGTTTAACTTGAGTTGTTTCCTTAAATCTCTCATCACTCACATGAGTACAAGCTTCTAAACTTGGTTCTGAAGTTGTCCTTAAGCTGTGCTTTGGAAGACCAGAAGAAGTTGTTTTCATAAACACTTCTGGAAGTTTGACCTCAGATAGAGAATCAAGCTGCTCTGGCTGTGGCACACTGGTTGTAGCATATTTCTTTGGTGGCAAGGGGGGTGGAAGATTCTGGCAAATAAAATTTGGCATTTGACAACCGTCAGATCTGCAGGCTGAGTGAGTTGCATGTTCCCTGGATGGAACATTCACAGAGTAACACTGTTCCATCATATTTTGCTGTTGGGCGAGGGGAGCAGATTCTGGCTTTAACCCAACAGTTCTCAGATGTGAAGAACACAATGAAGATAATGAGATTATTTCATTTCTGTCCACTCTCTTTGCAGGTACAGAGCTGTCATCAGCACAAAAAGGCAAACTTGGTCTCTCAGAATTTTCCTTATTAAGCCATTCAGAAAATCTGCATCCGTTTGGATTTTCAAATTTCTGTCTATCTGATTGGTGGATATGGTCTTCTGTTGTGTGGTCCTTGCCTTTCTGTAGGCTGGAAAAAGGAAATGGCTTTCCACTGATTTCATGGATATCGGGCCTAAGAAACAAAAACAAAAACAAAGCTGAAACACCATGTGGAAATATATGAAACTGGAGGAAAACAGACATTTATAGTTTCTTTTCTCAGTATATGGTTTATATTATGTTCTCAACATAGCAACAGAAATAGGAAGTATTTTGCAATCATTAAGATTTTCAATTCTCTCCAAACCCAAACCTGTATACTACAATATATGAATATTTAACACGAAGCTCAATCATTAAAACATATCTTTTCCACCTTTATTTTTCTTTTTTGTGCAGCACTGGGGATTGAATCTAGGACTTTATGCATGCTGAGAGGTGCTTTGCCACTGAGTTGTACGTTCAGTCCTCCAAATCACATTTCAAACTTGTACAACTAATTTGAAGAATACATTGTGTCATACAGCAACCAGTGAATTCCTGTTACTTTGTTTAGTGACATTTGTATCATTTCTAATGCTTATTTATTTTTTTTT